TTTAAAAGTACAGTGTATTTAATGCTGACATCATCAATGACAAGTAGAGCAGTTGTTTTCGATGCTCCACCAGCTGTTTGCGTACACTTGGTTAGATGATGCACACACAGCCAAAACGGGCACCTTTTGTGCAGCCTGAATTGGGACGCCAGCTCAAACAACGACATTCTTGTCAAAGACACCTTTGGTTATATATTTTTACATTTTTGCATATATATATATACAGGTGTTCACAGGAGCTGGGACTCCCTAGTCTGGGCTCGTAAACGGCAGTGCTCGCCCCCATCAGATCTAAGCGTCAGGTATTTGCCTGCAGGATATTTAGCATTGCGGGTTGACTGACCAGTCTTACAGATAGTGAACGCTTCAACACTTCAGCATGAAACATGTCTACGTATGATCAAGAACTCCACAGCCAACCTGAGCCTTCGATCCTCACCCCAGCTGTATACAGCATAGTCTGACCGTGCTGCATACATACAGACTGCCTCACGAAGTTTGGAAAAGGTGCTTGCTGTATAATCATGGCTTCATTTCCTCCATAGCTTAACTAACGATGCGTTTGTTCATGTTTGTTCTCTCTTTTCAAGACCCCTACAGTTGCACAGCAATACACATGGCCTTGAGAGCTCCATCTTCCAAAGCCAAAATCAATTGCAAGCGTTGCGAACTCGCTTCCTGCACCAGCTCTGCCAAGAGTGCAATGCATCTTGCAAAAAGGTTGTCCATAATGGTGATATAGCACTAGCTTGACATGGATCAAATGAAATTAACACAAACTTATAGGTCCTGCCCCGAGCCGGTGGCACATCAGTGCTGACCATTTCCCAGCCGGCTACAATCTTCGCCTGCGCCCATGTAGTCTTGGCATCACCCCTCCAAGGCAAGGTAACACCTCCACGCTGGTCCACCTGCACGGGACAGACAGGGATGTATCCATGCCGCATGCATCTTGCATGGATGCTTGCCAAAAAACAACAGCACCTTGAAGGTGTCTTGCCACTCCTGTGGCCACTCCTTTTGGGGAATCGACTTGGCAACATAGAAGCCGTAGTTGTACAGCACATCGTTGATGTTGCACTTGGCCGAAGTGCAACTCTCTGGAGGGCGCAAAGTGCAGCTGACCTTGTTGTCGGTGACAAGGTTTGCTGGCAAATCCATGTCCTCGATCTTCAGCTCAGCCAAGAGCTGATAAGCCAGCTTTGCTGCATCCTTGCGCCTAGCTGCTGCGCAAGCTGCCTTGACAGCAGCATCAGGCTTGGCCTTCGGAGCTGCAGACGCAGACCCAGCTGAAGTTGGAGCCATCTCACCGGATTTCCTCTTCTTCTCCACCACAGCTGGAACAGCCACTGCAGTGCCCGGAGTTTTCTGATCAGCTTTCTTGCCAGGTTTCGGCTTCTCCCCCTTCTTCCGGGCCTCTTTCTCCACGGCCTTCTCAGCCTCAAGCATCTCCTTCTCCTGGCGTTGTCTCAAGCCCCGACTCTGTTGCTTTATAAGTTCAGTTGACCCCAAACAAATACAGCAGGATACAGTCACGTCCTTCTTTTGCTTGGCACGCAATGCAGCTTGTTGAACACTTAGATCACAAGCCAGTGAAGCCTTGCAGATCACATTTTCCAAGAGAGGTTGCATTGACAAGGATAAGAACAACATTAATGCAATGTAATTTATATTTGACCTTCTTATCTTGGTTGATGCCACTGGAGACTTATCTGAGAACGCGTCCTTTGGCGCGCGAGAGACTGTGCTTGTTGCACCAGCCACATTGACCTGTGCATGATCAGGTGATGGAAAGGCATGTCACCCTGCAAACATACAATATTATGTACCTCAAGTGCTCCAGGCCATCTTTCAAAATAGGATCGAACGCGTTCACTGAACGGGACAACCTCCAACAGAAGCACCAAATCACTTGGATATATCAATAGAGATCGCAAACGTGCACTAGCCTCACCATCCTCAGGCAACTCCTGATCTGCATCGTCAATCTCAACAACACCTTGGTCCTGTCAGCTGCAGCATTCACCATCCCGTGAAGGCTTTGCATTGGCAAAGTGCAGCAGTGTCCTCTTTCTTGTCTTCTACTGCAGGTGGCTCCTCATGTTGTCCAGCCTGCCGGCCACGTGCGTACTAGTGAGGGATACACTCATTGAAGACAGAAATCAATGATATCCAATGAGTGAATGCGCACCAGCCTGCTCTGCAGTGGCTTCTGCAAAGTCCTCACTGGTGTCAGCCTTCCATTCAATTCACTTCAAAGAAAGGAAGGTAGTGTTGAACATTGCACACTGTACACATGGCATGCGTGCCGCATGAATGAGCCTTCACATCATCCTGGTCAGCTTCGGCTGCAGGAACCGATGCCGTAATCGACTCCACCTACAGCAATGGCAACGACTGTGAACAGAAACAACTTTCCTGGGTGCAGTGCACAGCACATCCGCACATGCAGAGCCTCCAAAGCATCATGGTGTGGTTTATCTCCAGCTGGGTCGCCACCAGCCTTCCAATCAATGTCAGCAGGGGTCCAAACGGCACCCCTCAAGACCGTTGAAACAAATCTATATAACATGAAAAGTTGCAGTGAGTGGCTTGAGTGGGGCATTTTTCCATCAGCCTTTCAAGCAGAACGAATCTTGAGCTCATGGAGAAAAAAAGAAGGTACTCCAACTCAAATCCCCAAATCTGTGGTTGGTACATTTGCACCTCCATGTCCATCGAATCCTCCAGTTCCATGACCATTTGTTTTGCCTCGGCACGAATAGCTTTCACCTAGGTCCAGGTCAGGTTGCAAATGACACCAAGCAAGCTGAACTTGCAATGGGCGCACACATGCAACATATTCATGAAGGCCTGGTCAGACAGCGTTTGGGGAGCATCATCATCAATATCAGAATCCAGAATCTCCAATGGCTCCTCAAGCGTAAAAACACATGAGTCAATGAAATTTGAGCTGACCAGTCAGAACCCACCACACATGACAACATATACATCAGCAAGTTGATAGTTTGGACAGTTTCACGCCTCATGAGCATTGTCATCCAGTGGGGCAGCATTTGGCACCTGACAGCACACACCAGGACATGCCAGGACCTTTTTGTGTGTGCAAGAATACACCTGCCTGGTTCCAAAAGTGCAGGAGCAGTTTCTTGAGGACTGAGATCTTGTTAGATCTGAACAGCATTCCCAAAAAATGAAACTCAAACTCAAACTTGAAGCATGGTAAACGGCTATCTCATGCATGGCCACCTTGCCTGCTTGCATGTGTGGCCTTCGCAAGCTTTGCCAAGTGGGACATCATAGACTTCATCCGGGTTGCTTTCGTATTGGCCCATTCCTAGTTTTGGATATAGGCAAGATCATGCAAGCTATGCCCTATGCTAGTTAATGACGTGTTCAAGTCATCATATTCCGAACAGTGGTGTGTCAGCACAGCTAAGTGCAATCAAGGAGCCCGGACAAACTTTTTGCCACCCCGTCGGCGGTAGTGGGGTGTGTGCCAGTTGTAGACCGCCGTCATGAACAGTAAAGCTGCCTGAGCAATCCATTTTCGCGACAGCACACAGCAACAGACATTGCAAGCTTGCAGCATGTCTCAGTAAATGCAGTGCAAGCACGACTACACACAATGTCTAAGGCTTGCCACCGTGTACTCCTTTTGGTCTGGAAGACCATGCTGACCAATCTGAACATTGAGCTCCAAGAGAAGCTCCCTGATGAGATAGTAGTTGCGCTCCAGGTCCTGCTCGTAGACCTGCACCATGCCATGCAGTTCAAAATAGTTCAAAGCTTGACGTGATGAGTCAGCTGCAGAACATTGCTGCGCATGTGCATGGTCACTTGAAACAAACACAGCAGTGCCAGCCTGTGCCCTCTCAGAAGTGCGACTATCCCACTTGCAAACACATCTCTCCTGCCCATAGGGTAGACTGAGTAAATGGGTCGCAAAATCACAGCAGCCTTGCATGCACACTCACACCCACACGCAAACAGCATGCTCCTGTGTGTCAAGCACGTTGGGTGTGCAGTTTCTCATGTACTCACTGATGCCATCCATGATGCTGCGCGCAATTACCTTATAACTCAGCGCAACACTACGGCCAAACCTGGAAAATATCAAAACCATTCAAAGCTAGCCAACTGCTCTGGGTGTAGCTACCTGTAGGGCTAGTGTTCATTCAAGTGGCTGACACCTTAAACTTCATGGGCTGGTCCACCACAAAACAGCCATCCTCCTGCTGGATGTAGGAGAGGGACATGATGGACGCAGTCACACGTGGATAGAGACAAATGCTTGGGCCAGGCTGACCAAAAGATGAAGAAGCAAAGCTGCGAACATGCGGGCAGCGAAAGAAACAGTGCTGTCACGACCGATCCGATCACGACAGGGCGCACCTCGCAGGGCTGACTGGCGGAGCAGCCCCATGTGTGAATCTAATTAGGGCTCCAAAACAAAAAATAAGTTTCTTCTCTAGATCTGGAGGGTTGGTCATGGATGGTTGGCAATGTCCATGTTGAACGATCTTGTCATCCTTAGTGCATGTTTTGACCATATGACTGACCTCTTTTGGCCGACATGAGCCAACTTCGGCAAATAGCCCCTTTTCCGGGGAAAGTGCCCGTGGGTCAATTAGAAGCCAAAAGACGTTTTTTGGCACTGTCCCCCGACTGCTTTCTGAGCAAATGGTTGGAGCCTCAGGGTAGCTTCT